AAAAAAAAAGAAAAGAAAAGAAAAGAAAAGAAAAGAAAAGAAAAGAAAAGAAAAGAAAAGGAAAAGAAAAGGAGAGTTAAAAGAGAGTTGCTTTAGGGGTCAGGTAATACTGGGATTAAGTGAGAGCTGCCAAAAAGTCAAGCTGAGTTAGACCTTGGAAAGGAAATTAAAACAAACAGTACAAGGTTGTTTAGCCACAGAGGCATAAGGGGAATTAAAAGAGAAGAAGTGAAGCTGCTATGCTGTAAGAATTGGATAGATATTAAAGTTAATCTATGAGTGGACCCAAAATGGAAGAAATCCTTTGACTCAGTAAATCATTTTCAATAAAGATTAGGAGGTTAAACACAGGGGCAGAAAAGAGAATAGAAATCACTCTATTCAAGACAGAAGTAAAACTAAATATGCTGACCCTGTTGGGAGACTACCTTAGAAATCACAAGACCTGGCAAACTCAGGCAAAATCTGGCAAATGTTCTTTCAGGTAGGGACCATACTGTTGCAGAATAGCCAAAGACCCATCTATACGTAAGAAGAGGGAAAATGTGAGAGTAGGCCTCAGGAGAACAGAGGGAGGAAGAAGAAAGAATAAGTAAAGATAGAGAGTAAATGAACCACAGAATCATAGAATAGTTTGGGTTGGAAGGGACCTTAAAGATCATCTAGTTCCAACCTCCTCTGATGTGGGCAGGGACACTTTTGACTAGACAAGGTTACTCAGAGCCTGATCCAGCCTGGCCTTGAACACTGCCAGGGATGGGGAATTCACAATCCCTCTGTGCAACCTGTTCCAGTGCCTCACCACTCTCACAGTAAAGAATTTTTTCCTAATATCTAATTTAAACCTACCCTCTTTCAGCTTGGAGCCATTCCTCCTTGTGCTATCATTACATGCCCTTGTGAAAAGTCCCTCTCCAGCTCTCTTGTAGCCATCTTTAGGTAGTGAAAGGTCTCCCCGGAGCCTTCTCTTCTACAGGCTGAACAACCGCAGCCTGTCTCAGCCTGAAAACTAAACATAGGTAATGCCTACTGACTTATTTTTATTTTCTCAAACATAGCACGCTTTCTGGTGACAAGAGGACTTGACATGGTGCCACTTAAGCAACTGAAATTATAGAAAATAAATACTGCATAAGAATGTTAAGGTAGGTAAGAAAGTGTGTAAAAGGGAAATAAAGGAAAGTAATGCAGAAAGGAATGTCACTGAATCAGGTGGAGATTACTAGTGGACTGCCATGAACAGTACCTATTCAAAATGTTCATTAATTGGTAATTAAGATAACAGAATGCTAACGTTTGCTGAATGTACACCACTGAGTAGCTTTATGAATACCTAAAGAGCTTTTAACACTGAAGGAAAAGCCTGGGAACCTTCAAGACTGGAAACATTAAAAACAGACTAAAAGTACAGAAGAAGTAAAACGTCATGTAAACAGCAGCTAATTGCATGAATTTCTTGTAAATCTGAATGCTGATCAAGTGAAAACTGCAGCGGAGTAAAAAACAACTGTCTTAACTGTTCACAGCATGACTGAGAGCTATCTGGTACACAACACATTGAGGCAAACAGGATTCTAATCTGTAATGGGACAATGTACTTCTAGTTAAGACAAGAAGGGAAGAATGCCATCATACCGTATGGAGGTTTTACCAGAAATAATTATATATTATTCTGGTCACCTGTTTTGAAACAATTGAATTAATCTTGGAATAGGTGTAAAGAAATGTTTCTGCAACGATGAGGGAATGGAGAACCCATCTTACACAACCAGGTTGGCTTCACCAAATGAAAACATGTTAGGGAGGGAAAAGAGCCATTTCAATTTTAAAAAAACAATGATAAAGTTAGCACAAAAGCATAGGGGAATAAATTGGCCATGAATAAATTCAAGGTGGAATTTACAGAAAGGTTTTGGAGTTTCAGAGGAATGAGGTTATAGAACACTTTTCCAAGCGAAGTAATGGAAATAAAAAATCCTAGTGAGACTTACAGTGAAGAATGGTCAGTGTATGAGAGATTATCCAATATGGTTGTCTGGGAATCCATGACCGAGGAGGTCCCTTTCAGGGTCCTCATAAATTATATATGAAAGAAAACCTATGAGGTCATATTGTCCCTTCAACCTCAATAAAACTATAATCAGCAAAACACTTACGAAAAGACTGCTGACCAAAACCAGAAAATATGTCTCTCTCTTTCCCTCCCCGTTTTTAAAGAGGAAAACCAAGCAAATTATTCCTTATAAAAAAATATGAGTTACCTGGTAAATTTTTTGTGTTGTTTTAGACTGGCTTTCACAAGGCCAACTTATTTATTGTATTGTACCCAGTGTTTGGCCTGGCCTAGTTTTAACAATAATTCAGAGAAATTACCTTACAACACAATCTTAATGTTCTCCTACCTTCAGTGGTGGCTCTGCTGCTGGGCTTCTGAGTTCTGGGAGCCTGCAGAACAAAAGATTTTAAGTTAATGCTTTATAAATTAAGACAGATGTATTGCACAACCTGAAGTCTGTAATTCCTTCCTCACAAAGGCTACCTTGGCTATCAGCTGCTAACACGTGGCAAGCCCTTGCAAAAAAGCAGCTCATGGACTCTGTGTTTCTGACATATGGCACTGTTCAGATGTGGGGCTTCAAGCTGCAAATTGCACACTTTTCCATGGGTCACCATAATAGAACTGAACTGAGGAGTAGGTGCAGGGTCCCAGCGATGCTCCAAGCAAAGGCTCCTTACGGCAGGGAACACCAGGATGAGGATGCTGGCTCACCTTCCAGATTTAAATATAAATTAACATAGGTTAGATACGTGAAGTCAAACCCCAGCAGCACTGAATTAATAGGGAAAAGGAAAGAGTACTGGACATAAGGACTCTATTCCTGGTTCTGTGCTCGTGCTTGACCATTGTGGACAAACTGCTCTAACTCTTTCAATTTGATTCCTGCTTGCTTTAGAATAGGATACATTACTCAGGGTTTCATGATGCAACTATGATAACAGACATATCCAACTTAAATATTACATCTCTCTCCCAGCCCATGGTCCTTAACATCATAGGAAAAACAGAAGGGCACAATCCACATTTGAAAAATCACAAAGCGTGGCAATAAAATCTCATTGTGTCATTCACTGAAACCTTGATGAACAAATCTCAGTATTCACGAGAAATCACCTAAAGGACATTAACGCGTGCCATATAAAACTGTCAGCTAGCTGGAACAATACTTACCCTAAGTACTTTAACAATTCCTTACTCAGATCTTCAGGAATATATTCCGATATTAACCCATGGGCATATCGTACATAGTCTTCAGGAACAGGGTAGGGAATAGAAAGGAGAAGAAAAAGAACATTCATGTTACATAGGTTGCTTTAGCCTTGTTGCATGTGCTACCACGAAGCATAAGGTTGAATTATTAGTAAGAGGCTTCTAATGGATACACTTGATGCTTCTCTGTGTTGAGTAGTTTATGTTATATGACACTTGCAGGTTTATTTAAAAAGTAAAGACTTACTACACTCACTTTGTCAGCACATGTTATTAATATCTGCTGTATGTACTTCACAAAAGCCGTTCAATTTCTGAGAATACTAGATAGCCTGTATTCGAAGAAATTAAATTTTAAAAACCTGCAAAAGTAAAAAGCTGACTCAACAGAACATGCAATCATTAATTTTAAAGCATCTGGATCTTACAATTATTTGGCAAGGGCTTCAGTACTAAAGAACATTTTCTGGCTTCAACTGAAAACAATTAGATGAGACAATGAGTCTATTTCAAAGTCTTGTACTTAATTTTCAGTACTTTATAGAAAATGCCAAGGCCTATCTAAACATCACTGGCAAGACAGGATAATTATCCGTGGAAATATGAACTACTAGAAGCTGTTTTCAGTACAGGGCACTCCTGCTATAAATGTTTTTCTGAGAGACTTGGAAAAAAAGTGACCCTTTTATAACATGAAGTCCTAAACCAGACCCTTTCCGGTCACGTTCTACACAAGCACTTACTGATCATGGGCTGGATTTTTTAAACTTGCTGCTGTTGAGGCTGCTAGGGAGTAACTGCACCCATGCACAGAAAGCATTCGCCAGACAGACATAAAGTTAAAATCTCGCCTCTCAATTCCAACTACAACAGGCCAGCTTTATCTGCCCATATGCTTACACACTTAAAGAGCTCAGAGTGGCAAAGAACTATTTCTTTAGTGCCAGAGATAAGTTTCCCCTTTTTTCCCTTTTTTTTTTTTCTTTTTTAAATCTAAAAAGCCCAAAGGAAACTGGCATTGAAACAGAAACCATTAACAAACTGACACCAGCATACACACTTCAACCATATTGACAATAAATTTCTAGTATTGCCTATCTGCACTTCTTCTTCCTCCACTGCCTAAATTCATCAAGGATTTGTCACTTTCTAAGCCCACTTTAGGGTCAGGAGAGAACAAGAAATAATTCTAACCCAAGATAATTTCACCTCAGAACTTAATATGTCCAACTTGCTACTTAAAACTATTCCTATCATTTCATTCTTTGCATTATGACACTGAATAGTGAGTCCAAGTCAACTGCCATTATTTTGTATGAAATACAAAGTCCTCTTTGCATTTCTGCTTTGAAGCAGACTTCTCTGAGTTCCTTTACCAATTTAAAAATACCACTGTTTCTCTTCTAGTGAGTTTGCACTCTCACCCTTGTCTAGCTTTCTTATTAACCTTCTCTCAAACATCAGGAATATCTGCACACCTCCATTCTTGTCTTCTAAATGAAATATTCAGGTCTCATATGTTAAACCTCTTCTATTTCCCTATTTGCACTCATTATATCCTCCCATACTTTTGCCCTACAACATCTGTAGATGCTAACTACATATACTATCTATTTATAAGGTACTGAAATTTCATAACACCCCTATGAAAGCAATTCCTTTCAGAAGTAAATTGCACTGTCACAGTAGTGAAAGGATTGGACAAGAAAATTTGTCTTACTAGAAATAAGTGTTGAGTAATGTCCATTTGACTTCCTGTCATTCACCTTGCCACATACAGTGGTACTACCTCCAAAACTCACCTACTTTAAATCCCAGCACTCCTTATTTCAATGCTGCTCTCTTAAATATCAAAAAAAAAAAAGGCTTTTAAAAAGGCTATCACATCCATGTCACTGTAAGTAAGGAGTAAGGTGGAAAAACCACTGTAGATGAACTATTTAATCACAAATTTCTGAGAAAAAGTATTTAAACATCATCAAGATGGTTACTGCCAGGACACTTTTCCCTTTCTTCAAAAAAATTGGGTTGGGGAAAAGGATGAAAAGTTACTGTAAAGTTAAAGTCACAAGTTTTGCAGCTTTGCCTCTTTTTAAAAAACATATATTACAATCTCTGTTCTATAAAACTGTCTAGTTGCCTCTTAAATCTCTTTTATGTTGTTTCCTTTGATATCATTACTTGGTACCTCATTTTCCACTTTGTCAGCAAGCTGCTTTGTTTCTCCTTAATTTTCAGCAGCATGAAGACTTCTGAAAGTCTTTGTAATAAGAAACAATTTGCTTTTGTTCATCTTGCTCTAAACTTTTCTTAGAAATTTTCATTAACATTCAAAGAATTTATTTTGAGTCTGTTTTCAGGTTGCTCTCCAGAACTTCACATCCCGGTAACATTCAGGACATTGCCCTCCCCAGAAAAAAGGTGACTAGAAGCAAACAGGATCACACCAAACTTTTTGGTAACTGGACTGTCAATTTCAGGGCAATTTAATACACATATTATTAAAGCTATGCCCTTAATAATTACATATTTGTGCATTCTGTATATTTGTCACAAAAAGTAATGTTTGCATCAGGAGCTTTTTATCTGTGACTATGGCTTTCCAAGATCCCTTCCCCTTTTTGAAGAATTCTATGAATGCTAACATGCCAATATTCTATGCATCCTAATAAAAACAGAATTAAAAAGAAGCATGTTCTAATACAGAGACACTTACTGGGTGGATACTCATACATATTATAAATATGTGTCCTATTGTCTAAGACAGTCTCAGTTCAGCAAAGCACTTCAGTATATATTTCACTGAGAAAAAATGTTTTCTTTTTGAACTATGGAGAAGTTAAGTGAACCCCAGCTGAGACCTACTGTTAATTACAATGCCATCTGATGAAGATACCAAAGAACTTGGAAAAGCCAAAGCAGACAGTCACAACATATATGGAATTTTCTCTACAAGGAATAAATGTACTGCAAAGGCCAATTTCAATACATTTTAGTTTCTAATCATGTGTTGTATCTCCACTTATGCAACTTCACAAAAATGGAATTAATTACAATTTAGTTTTAGGTTTAGTTTTCTTACCTTCTTCAGTATCTGTGGTCTGTTTACTGCTGATAAATGTACTTGCAAGTACTCTTTCACCTACTGATATATTGTTGCTTTTAAGTGCTTTCACTGTTTGATTAACCTATAGAAAACCAAAGAATGAAATGTCTGTATCAGAATTGTTATGCACATGTTAATGCAGTGACAAAGCTCTTGTAATTTTGTTTCAAGCATATAAAACACTCAAGTTATGGACTGTGGTGAAATTTAATATACATTTGTAATGACTAGCATATGAGTTCAAAAAAGCCCAAAGAAAATAGTATGTCTTTGAACATGTTGCCTTGGCAACACAGCACCAGTTTTGTAGCACCCTAAGATGAACTGAGCTACTCAGATACAACAGCCATGATTATACAGGTGAGAAATACACCTGCTCAGAGAATGCCTGAGCTCAGATGGATTGCAGTAGCAGTCCTGGTGGAAATCAAAGATTAAGGACTTTACTGAGCACTGCTATATTGGATGCAACAGAGGGATAACTGTCAGTAGAAGGTATTTTCAACAACACGAATGGGTACCTGTTGAAATGTAAATAGGCAGGTAATCATTGAAAAATAGGTATCCTTATGCTTTATCACTGCAGAAAATAGACCAGATTTTGTGCTTGTATTGACTAATTTAAATGACAAGGTTTCCCTACATCATGTGATGCATACCATCTTCTTCTACGAAGTGGTATCATCATATTAGGGGCACGTGTGTGTGAATAAAATGAAATTCACCTTCTTTATACCAAAACACAGACCCTATAAAGCTTAGCTTTAACACTATTTTATTTTTGGCATTCTGTACAGACCTCTTGAACAGCACAACTGGATCAGGATAACAGCAACCAAACAAGGACCACTCCGAACAACTCTGCCAAAACTTCGGGAAATACATTTGTAGCACAAAACCAAGGCATTTCAGTCCAGCTGCAAAGCATGGCAGAATTCAAAAGCTTTAACAATCAAAGCTCTTCTCCAGCCCATCTACATAGGGGATGAAGCAAAGGATGAAGCCCCTAACCTTATGCAAAGCCTAGAGCAACAGCTGGCAGCTTCTTCTGTCTCCCCACACTCCATGAATCCCTTTCATGGCCAGCCCCGTCAAAAAGAGAAATGTAACTAGCTTGTAATACCTCTAACACACAATCACATTCCCAAGCGTGACAATTTTACTGCAATGTCTGTCCTTCTTGGACAGGACACGTACCTTGAACTGAGGCACACCACATAGCTCAAATGCAGAAATGAACAAGCTAATAAATAAGCATGTGGATTTTAAACATAAAGCAAAAGAGAAACACAATACCTTTTTCTTTAACCACTTCAGTGTCTTCTCTTGGCTGTATTTATGGAATTTCTGACTGCCAATCTCTGAGAAAAAAACAAGTAAGGGGAAGAAAGTCATGTCTGGTTTGGATTGTATTTTCAATACATTTAAAATCTCGTAAGTTGTAGATACAGCATGAAAGTTAATTTGCGTCTTGGACATGTTTGATATCAGGGTAATAAGTTTCAAAAATATTGGAAACACAGAAAAATAAACAAAATAAGCTGATATATATCAGTCTGAACAATTTGAAAATTTTTTAATTAGGACCTAATCCAGAAAAGCACATATTTTATTTATTTATGTGTAATCTTGGGCTGCCTGAATTCACTGAGGCTCTTCTCAAGCCCTTGTAGTTTGCCAAACCTTCACTGCCCTATGTCATCAGCTTGGTCATTTTAACTACATAGTTCACAACACAAAATGTTGGTTCCCGACTGTGTTTTATTAAAAAAACCAAAACACAAACCAAACCAAAACGTATTATTTAAATCTTTAGTTACTGAATTCCAGCACCTAGTAAGAGGCTGGGACAGTGAGTTTATTACTGAAGACAAACCATTCACCCTTTCAATAAACACTTTTCCTATCAGTTCTCCCCTCTCATGTCACAGAGTTACTGAAACAGGAGTTTTACTTCTATACCCCCTTTTACCTAATTCAATACAATGTCAAAAGAAAATACCGAATTCAAAATAGTGAAACACACTCCTTGTGGGAGACAGTACGTGATTCACTCATGATTTATGGAGCAACACAAATTAACTCAGTGATATAAGAATTTCAGAAAGTGCTTCCCCTGTGATAACTAGGGGATAATGAACACTTGCTATTCACATGTGATCAGTTATCTGGAGACATGCGAGTTCACAATTCTGAGGCAAAACAGAGAAAATTACAAAGGCTCATGAAAATTTCAGCATAGAAAAATCAGTATTAATTCACAGAAAGCTACATTTGAGAAATGGAATGAGATGCCTAATAAGATTACAAAGGAGAATGTGGAACCCACTGTGTTTCAGTCTTTCCTTAACAGGTATTTCAGTCAGTTTTGATCTCCTGTGTACCATTCCCATAAATACCTACATCTGTTTCATGCCATTTACTGATACAGTGTCATATTCCAACACTCAGTTCATGAATTTCATTCTCCCCCTGCAAACAACAACATATTATTTATGATTCCTTCAGCATTTCCTTCTCTGGGGTTTATCTTGGCTCTTTCAAATTGCATACAAATAGTGAACTATTGTGTGCTCTTTCTGTATGCACGTTAGAGGGTATGGAGAGGTTGAGGAAAGCCGTTTACAAGATAAAGTTTAAATCTGTCTCAACAATTGCAGAATAGCAAAATCCAAAAATTCTTCAGAGCAAAAATGAAAAAAGCCACTAATATACACTTTGCTTCATGATAAGTTGCAGGTAAAGTAATTAGCTGTGATATCGCTGGCTGCAGCCTTTAGGACTTAGAAGCTTTTAAATGGCTCTGAAAGACAAGAGGCAGAAAATGCAGAAACCCTCTGGATGCTTGAACCAGTATCCAGCCTTTGCTTCTCAAAGGACTAACGTGGTTTGGGTTCAACCACAGTGACTACGATTCGTGGATTCCTCTCATATCAAAGTTCGAGGAAGGGACGTTCTCCGGGCACCATTCCCCAATCCATGCTGAAAAGTAATTCTAGTCCGGATTCCCAGGCAAACTCCCCCACAACAGCATGATTCAGAGTGACTCAGTTAGGGAAAGGAAACGTAGAACTGTGAAGCCATTTTCATTAAAACATGTGAAAAATAATTACACTGAACCCTTTAGAGATCACTTTGTTTGAAAATATTTTGTGTGCCTGACAGTTTTGACTATTAAACTCTAAAAACTGACAATATTTGAGACCTCTGAAGAATTAAAGTGAGTTATGAAAGTCACAAACTGCTGACAAAAGGATTCAATATTGGAACGTGGATTTAACATGTGATGCACATTTGATATTGGTGAGAGTTAGTGACTCTGTTTGATAATATGAGTATATATTGGAAAGCCTTTTGTTCCCTAATGTGTCTGGTGCCTATAAAACTGGTCTGAGACATCTGGAAAGATTGGGTCTGAGAAATACAGATGGAATATAAGTGGTTCTACAATTAAATAATATGTTCAGCGATCGGGTAATCGCTATGTAGACTTGGAAGTTTCCCTGATGTATTGTTGAGCAAACTGCCTAAAGCACATTTTAACATCCATTTTCTCAGTGTTTTCCATAACTCTGAAACTCATATGGCCCCTTTTTTCCTACCTTCTGGGAATACAAGCTTGGCAATATCATTTAGTTATTCTAATCAGGTAAGTTTTCTTGGCTCTTCATGTTAATCACATCAGACAAGATTACAGTGCAGCTTTTGCCTTGCAAAATGAAACAAAGAGTAACACTCTAGACCTGGAATTCATAATCCTTTCTTAAACCTTCTCTGCTTTCTATCCAGTGCAAACAACCTGCCTCACCTAGATTTAGTGAGCTGCAACACACCCTTTCCCCAACTACTAAAGCAGGTAACCCAGAATTTAATTTAGCTAAATGAATTTTCAGTGCCCTTCAACACCGAGGCCAGGGAAGGTGGATTTTCTGCTAATTCAGTAAGTGTAAACTGTGAGTGTTCTGGGATAAGAATTTATTAGACAGATGTTAAACATCTTATGATTTAATTAAGAGTGAAATAATTATGTTGTTAGGTTCTGTCAAGCAGAACAGAGCTGCAGAAGCCTCAACACAACAAATACATCTTGTCCTAACTCCTTAAACAAGAAAGGCTACAAAGTGGACAAGTCTTAAGAGCTAGAAAAGAGTACCGTAAGCCATAATATTGGTATTTTTTACAGGCAATAAAAGACATGAGAATATGAAACACGTAGAAGTGGATTAAACAGAAGGGTGATCTGTGCATGACAGGCAAGCAAGTGCCAATGGGTTTGTTGCCTAACAGTACTCCTGGTGTTCTAAAAAAAGAAAAATCCTAAGAACAAACCTCACTGTTACTTTGAACCCAACCCAAACCTGAACAATTAAAAAAGCACAGACATGCAGGTCCATGCAGAGGAACATCCAAAAAATCACATGAAGCTCATGTGTGCATGTGCGTACAGCTTCTATGTGCATACAATTTTTACCTCACATTTCAAAACAAAGCCCAAGAGGTGAGCATAACTTCTTTAACAGCTAATATCACTTGCTGGCAAAACAACACAAATGTGTAAGTGTACAGAATACATTACTGAAAATGAAAAAACCTAAGCTGTAAAGCATCTCCACTACTGTCTAACAAAATACAGTTTATCAGAGGATGCTCTGATGGATAACATCTGCAAATATAGTATCAGAATAGATACAAAAGTTAGATAAAGATAAAAGATATTGTTTATAGCAAATACTTTTTTTGTTTCGTTTTTATTTTGCCTTCAAGAAGGGAACATAAATATTTCCCAAAGGCTGTGCTGTTGTTTGGAGTAAGTGCCCCTTCAGAAAAATAATCCAAATGTTGCCTGTGTTTCTATGCAGGCTTAGGTTTGACAACCAAGAAGATCTGGCACCATTTTTCACCTTCTCATATGGGAGATCAACCTGATCTCCTTCTATGACAAAGTGACCCACTTAGTGGATGAGAAAAAGTCTGTGGATGTTGTCTACCTGGACTTCAGTAAAACATTTGACACTGTCTCCCACAGCATTCTGGAGTAGCTGGCAGCCCATGGTTTGGACTCTTTGCTGGGTAAAAACCTGTCTGGATGGCCAGGCCCAGAGAGTGGTAAAAAATGGTGACACATCCACTCACTAGTGGGATTCCCTGGGGCTCTAAACGGGCAGCAGTTCTGTTTAATATCTTTACTAATGACCTGGATGAGGGGATTGAGTGCACTCTCAGTCAGTTTACCGAAGACACCAAGTGGGGCAGGAGTGTTGATCTGCTTGAGGGTAGGAAAGCTCCTTAGTGAGATCTGGACAGGATGGATTGATGGATGGGCTGAGGACAACTCCATGAGTTTCAATAAGATAAAGTGCCAGGTCCTGCACTTGGGTCAAGACAACCCCATGCAGTGTTACAGGCTGGGGGAAGAGTGGTTTGAGATCTGCTCAGCAGAAAGGGACTGGGGTGCTGGTTGACAGCCGGCTGGATATGAGCCAGCAGTGTGCCCAGGTGGCCAAGAAGGCCAATGCAATCCTGGCTTGCATCAGAAATTGTGTGGCCAGTAGGACCAGGACAGCGATTGTCTCTCTGTACTTGGCACTGGTGAGGCTACACCTCGAATCCTGTGCTCAGTTTTGGGCCTTTCACTTCAGAAAGGACATTGAGGTGCTGGAGCATGTCCAGAGAAGGGCAATGGAGCTGGTGAAGGGTCTGGAGAACAAGTCTTAAGAGAAGCAGCTGAGGGAACTGGGGTTGTTTAGTCTGGAGAAAAGGAGGTTCAATGGGGACCTCTACAACTATCTGAGAGAAGGTTGTAGTGAGGTGGGGGTTGGCCTCTTCTGCCATGTCTCAAGTGAAAGACAAGAGGAAATGGCTTTAAGTTGTGCCAGGGAAGTTTCAGATTAGATATTACAAATTGTTCTTCACCAAAAGAGTGGTTAGGCGTTGGAAGAAGTTGCCCAGGGCAACAGAGGAGTCACCATCTCTGAAGAGGTGTCTGGATGTGGCACTTGGGGATATGGTTTAGGGGTTACAAGGGTAGTGCTGGGCTGGCACTTGGGACTCAGTGATTTTGAAGGTCTCTTCCAACCTTGATGATTCCATAATTCTGTGCACAGAAGTTTAATAGTTCTTCCTCATCCCTAGCTATTTAGCCAGTGTTAGACAAGTTGTAGGGCACAGCAACTGCTTTAAAGATTAAAAATACTTTTTACTACAAGTACTTCTCACTTCATGGGAAGGCAAAAGGGGTTTTGCAGTTCAGATGCACCTGTCTTCAAGATGCTTTCTCAAAAGTCAGAAATCACAAAAAAAAAGATTCTTTGGTCCCAATGACACCAGATGTAACTAAATGTTTTCTGAAGGTTCTTTCAGAAATCTAATATTATTCCGTAATTATGTGCTTATACAAGCACATAACTGCTCTGTTGTTAAAGTGACCATTTTCAATGGAAACATATCCTGCCCTAAAGTTCAAATGCAACTGTCCTACACTGCTTCATATGCACCATATGATACTGGAAATACTTAAACTTGTGCACCTAAAGTTTTCAGGAAAACTCAAGTTTCCCCACCCCCCTCACATTTTATTGTTCTAGACAACTAGGAAGAGGTCCGGTCTTTTACTTAGCTGGCTTTTTTTCTTCCATCACCTTTCCGTAGCCACTTCCCAATTACCTATAGATCACCTAAATACTTCTTCCTGTATATTATCAGTAACAAGGGTCAGTTTGCTTCATGAAAGCAAAGTTCTAATGTTTCTAGCTTTTAATCTGTGTATCTCAACTCCTTAGAAGAGCTCTACATGCAGAAGGGTCAGACAGCTTAGCTGTTTTGCACTTGGTGGCAGATTCCTGCACCTTCTCCTGTAGATCTCCATCTGAATGTAGGTAAATCTCCATTTCCTATCAGGAAGTTAGCAAGCATAAGGAAAGTGCTCTTCAAAGGACTAAATATAAAAACTGAGGTCTTGCGCCTTTTGCAGGTCTGCAAACCTGCAAAAATTACATAATGCTCCTTCCCCTTCCCTAGAAAGCACATATTGTCCTCAAATAAAATAAAAGACCCCAGGCCAAAGGGAATTCTGAGCACATAGTTGAGGAAACTACATACAGAATCGATACTTTGCAAACTTTTTCCATTTAGGTTTTCTCTCTCATACACTCATGCATCCCAATCAACTTTTCTATTTTAAAACAATTAAGTCTTTGAGATCAAACCCACAACACTAAAATATGCAAAGCTAGAAAAGCTGTGTTTTCCTTTCTCCTCAGCATATTCACTCTTCTCCATCTTTTTCCTACTTATTGTTTCAATCCTTAGCAAAAAAGGGTAAAAAAAAGTTAAATGGACAATGGGTAACTTCTTCTATGCCGGACCATCCTACACTAAATAAAGAATTTAGAGAGATGCAAAGTTCTCATCCAAAGTCAAAGAAAGTTCACAACATATACAATAATGTCTGATCAGTTTATCATTTTTATGACGCCTAGCAAAAAGACTGCACAAGTATTTTACAGCTGCAGCAGATAATCTGAGATCCACACATTACTATTTACAATACTGCAGTGACAACTTCTAAGTCCTGGTTTCTGTTTTTAAAGTAAAGCTTGATCCAGCTCCTTGGGTGTCTGGTAAAGCGAAAAACAGTTTTTAAATCTATCTTGTCATTACATAACTCTAAAAAAACCAGCCTTTTTCTTTGCCCCCCCCCCCCCACCCCTTTTTTCACCTTTTTCTTCTGTTACATGCTGTATGTACTGTTTAACATTCTCACACTTCAGCAGCAATGGGCAGCTAGGGTATTCTGGGTCTAGCACAACTTGATCAAGTGGCTGGAACTTTCCTTGCTGCTGAAAATACATCAAAGGGATTACAAAAGCATTATTATAATGTTAAGACACATATACAAGCTACACGTATATAGAAATACATATGCATGCAATGGCCATAGTTTTAAAATAAAGGATTTAAAGAAGATCGTATTTTGAATGGTAACACATGACACATTCAGAAACTGATTACAAAGAGAGCTATAAATATTTATTTCAAACCAGTAAATACCTGCAAAATGCTGAGCTCTTTAAATACTGCATTTAAAAGACTAAATTTAAAACAACATGGGGAGAAACTAATGTGAAGTACAGTGGGATTTTTTTGGAAGATGACATAAGACACAGTAGTCAGTGTGTGCCAATAGTGTTTTAGACCAAAACCTGTTGGATTAAACCCAGTGTCATAACTTCCATCAAAATTTTGCTTTTTCTTCCATAAAGATAAATCTCAAAGGAGCAGGGCAGCTTCTGGAACACAGTATTAACCTTTCACCTCTGCAAAGTCAATTCCAGTTTGGCCAGAGTAGGGCTATAAAGCGATTTTGGCACAACTTAAATAGTCCCACACATGACAGAACCATCAAACAAATTTTGCCATTGCCAAACAATGTATAATCATTCAGCCTGGTTTGGCACAACTGGCAGCCTCCCCTTTGGAAAGATCCTTTAGCGCATCAGTACAAAGACTCTGTGAGCGTCTCATCCTTAGAGAGTGCATGGTCTCAGGAGCCAAGGCTGAAGTCATTATACTGCTCGGCATGAAAAAAACCCACTTGAGTATATTGCTTTCATTATTAATTAATTCTCTTGCTAGACGGTCAGAGGCTTAAGAAAAGTAACCAACTATTGTCAAATCACAATAAAACGAAGAAAAAAAATCCCAAACAAACACACAGAAAGCAAAAGCAGAAAGTACTTAAGAGGTTTTTTTCTCCTTAAAAATGAAAAGACACAATAACAGTGACAAAAAGAAGATTATGAGACAGAAGAATAAAGTTGCAATAAACTCGTTCTTATAGATAACAAAAAAAGAAGGAACATTTCCACTTTATTTTGTGCCCTTTTTTCCACAGGCAGTTTATAAGAAATAAATCAGTAACTTTGCCTATGCCTTTTGATGTATTTCAGAAACTTAAGTGAGGTTTTGCCACATCCATGATAAATCAGTGAAGCCATTTATTAATTGCCCAACTTTTGGATACTTGATCATCCCACTGCTGTTCTGTGATACAGCACCTCTATACACATACTGCTTCTAAAAAGGCAGTGTTTCCTTTCAAGTTCAAACTTCAAAGAGAAACAGTCTTCCTTCCTCCTCCATAGCATCTAAATTCTTCTTTCTTTTTACCTTCTTTCACAGAATGACCAATCTACTGATGCCTCAGAAAGGACACTAGTTTGTTTTACTTTGATGACATCTTATCATCTGAAATTCCATAGTGCTGGGACAGGCTCTCACAAAGGACAATAGTGAGTCTCCTCTTAAAAAAGGAGGTGATTAGAGCTTGTCGAGATTGCAAGCTGACTATTGGAACTAAATTTACTGACCAAAAAACTGGATGCAAACAAAAATACTTGTAGTTATTAATACAACTCTGCTTTAAATGCAAATTAAATTTCCATTATTATGGAAGAGCCACTCTTCACAAAATTAACATAACTTCTGCAGAAATGAAGTCAGAAATGATGTTTTCTTTTGAGAATTCCAGTCAAAAAAATAAAGCAAATAAATAAGGCTTACCTCTTTGTCTGCCTTTATGAGGTAGTAGAGTATCAGAAATAAGGGGTCCATTGGTGTAACAAACAGCAGGCGCCCATCTAGGTGACAGATATGTAAAAGTAAGCTTAGTACCAAGGGACATAATATATTGACATTTTCAGGTTTTAGGATGTTTTCTATGAGTGTGAAGAGAATTTTTTTTCAGTAAGTATCTAAATATTTCAATAAAATTCCCAAGAAAATTCAATTTGTAATTTTATATTAAAAATAAAGAGATAGCTCAATTCTCAACCCTGACAAACCAAAGCACAAGCTCCACTTCAGGTCTTCTGGCTTCATGTACTCTGAGTTTTGCCTTTTTCTGGACTATATTAAAAACAGCAAAATTGAAAGTGCCCTCTATTGGCAGATTTGGGGGTAACAGAAACTTGGTTTGGGATACCAGACAGATTCAGTATACTCCACCTCAAACACTGGGCAAGACACCACTGTGCTGGCAGAAGAGACAGGCAGGACAATAAAGAAATTCAAGAGCTAGTTAAGTTAGAGCTGCCTCTTATCTGTAAGGGAAGAATCTGCATGCAGTCTCCCAATGGAACAAAATAAACTTAATCAGAACAAATGGCTCAGTACGTTTCATTCAAAGTTACACACAAAGGAAGAACTCAGTCTCCCACTGAAACAGACACCTCTGCCCATCTGGAGTTCATTGCAGGACAGTGGCTTAGTCAGGCTTTTTGTGTAATTGCAGATCATTGGAAACAATGGAACATCAAGGAAATTCACTAATGAGACTCAATAATTGATGACAATTTGACACGAATTAGCAAACAAAAAGTAAATAAATGTAATTCTTTTGTTTTAAATCACACGATTAAGATAATTAAAGAAAAGGAAATCCTATTATGATGGCCCTAAAAATAACGAAAGATGGAGTGGAAAGAATGGGGTTTGGAAAAAACTGATCTCCAACCCAACATCTGCAGTACTAACATGATGCGCTGTGTGAGGCAAAGTAAGCATCAGGACTAGTTACAAACATGAAAGCTTTGATAATAAAACTAGAAGAGAAAAAAAAAAACATTAGCCCCTTTCTCAAAGCTTCCATTTAAATGTTCTCCACTGAACTTCCAGAAAGAGCTATTTTTGTTTGTTCTAAAACATTCAAACTCACTAGAAGTGTATAAAGATCTCTAACCTTCTCTGCAGATAACGAGATGATATGCTTTAACTGCAAACACACAGCTTTTTCATGTTAAAGATTCAGATTGGTCAGGCAGGACCTGCCCCTCCTTAACCTGTGTTGGCTGAGTCTGATCCCGTGTCCTGACTGTTTCAGAGATGCAGCAGCTCTAACATTCAGGAACAATTTTTCTCCTCTTATCTTTAAAAGAAAACTGAGGCCATGATTCCTTGAAGCAACTCTTTCCCAAGGGCCAAAATAAAGTTTAGAAAAGGGAGAGGGAGAATACAATGTGGACCTAATTGGGAGCAGGGAGCAGACCCGGACTGCTGGCTCACCTCCAAGATGGAGCAAGGAAAAGCTCACAGACATACTACTTGCATTGCTTTATGTGCCTGCAGAGGATGTTTAAAAGTTAGCACACACTTTGGGATATTATCATTAAAGAAAGCATATGTCTGGTGTGGTTGCTTTTATTTATTATTATAAATGGTCTTTTTTCTAATGAAAAGGAACAAAATAAGTATACCTTAATCTCTTGAATTAATACTTACTGGTCTGTGGACATGTTGGCAGAGGAAAACTACTACAATGACATCCTTACTGAAAAATGATTGTGAAAGTTGTCAGAAGTCTTTATGTAAGGTTCCTCCTCATTATCAGAAAGGCATGTAGGATCAGAGAATGTTCAGGATGGTATAGACAAGCTCACTTCAGACAACACACTGAAATGGCAACCTCAGACAGCAGGCCTATCCTGAGATCCCAGCACCCACACAGGGGATTACAGAGGTAATTAAAAGAAAGCAAGTCCATACATTCCAACGCTTGGACAAAGCCCTCAGCCCTGGTTAAACCCATATGGCAAATGAGTCTATCAGAAGGTGGGGATATGATGCAGAATTTCTCAAACAACTTGGAAAAACACCTGTAAATTTACTAGAAGAGAGAGGGAAGGTCTATATACAAACATTAGTTAAAGCTGGGGGAAGGATACATTATGCAACTCACCTTGTTGAACAGTCTGACCTATAAACCAGGAACGACATTCCTCATGAAAAGCTTTTACTTCAAACAGCTGCTGAGCACCACTATTGAATAAGTAAAGGGTTGCTTCCCCTGTTGAAAAGAAATCTGGTTTGTGTTTGTAAGCTTTCATAAAAATCAAAAGAATACCCAATATGTCTGAAGAATGTGCCTTATATACATAGAGACACACAAACATACACACATTCTACATAAATTCTCTACAAAGAAAGCTCAGACAAAAAACACTATTATATACAGATGTTCATTTACCAGCTCTATAAACGAAACTGAATTTGAATCAATAAATAAGATGTGTGAATAGTTCATCTTACAACATAAAGCCTTTGATCCAAACCCAAATCAAAATCACTCAAGAAATCACTTTTTTCTGTACTGAAGGGGGAAGGTAGAAAACAAGAAAAGTCCCTCTCCTTCCATCATGTTTGTCTTCAAGATATCAAACTCTGGGTTAGAGGAACAAAAGTAGGGGGGTTTGTACATCAAAATGAATTGTGATGACTCAGTATGGGTAGACATATCAAGTGAACAAGGAAGCTAGAAGAGGTTGCTTTGAAGTACTTATCAGAATCTTGATAGCATGGAAAGGAAAAGGTAAGCTTTATTTTAGGTCACCCCATAGGACAGATCTGCCGTTTCACATTAGTTTTGGGTTACAATGAAAAAGTGACAAATACACTTCAAAAAGGATTGGCATTTTCCTTATCAAAAATGGGAAATTGCCAGAACTGAAATGTGGCCAGAGAGTCCATTGGCTAGACTGGTCCTGTCTTGCTTATCAATCCATCTTCAAGAAACAAGAGCAACTGCAACACAGCTGTCCTGCCCAAAACACATAAACTGCAAAGCTGCACTGACTTGCACATTATGGGCTGTCTCAGAAAAGTCTCAGTGTAAGCCCTCTAAGCTGACATCAGCACTGCAGACATCCCCAGGTGCAGAGGGAGGTCAGCTAAGATGGGCAAACACATCACTTCCCAAAAATTACTTATAATGCATTTTTCCCCCCTTTATCCAAAAGGCTGACCAAATGTTTAACCTCACTTAAGGATGTAATTTCAGTTCTCCGATAATTTTTCTTTTGTGGAGGGGAGGAGAGGAGCAAAGAGTAGATATAAGGGGGAGCAGAGGTTTCAATCATTACCATGTGCACCCTCAACAAGGATCTACACCACAGTTTGATCAACATCAGACATCACACTACTCACAGAAGTGCTGACTGAACAACTTAAGACTCCTTCCAGTGAGCGTGCTAGCCAAATCCAGTGGTGAACTATACAATCTTGGGAAAAGGACCCTTCTTATTGCCTAACTGCAGCTCCTTAATTTATGTCTTTACGTTAAAAGGATAGTCACCACAGATTCCCAACAGTATTGTTAGACAGAAACTCTAAAGGGTAGAGAGAAAACCCAGATAGCTTTACTCGCAACTTCACCAGTGTTGAAATGCAGCCTGAATTACAGTTTATAGTCTTTGAAAGGGATAGAAATTTTGTCTTTTTTACCTGTCTATATATAGGACCAAGCATACTTTTATTTAATAAACCAGTTAGCATGAATTCTATAATGTGCTGAGTCCTTCAGTGCATATTTATACAATATCTGGCATCAACAATTCATCTGTTAGACCCAAACATAAGGAAAATACATTAATATTATGTTCTCAGTCCTTCCATTTTCAAACCCTATATTTATAATAGGCTACGTAACTGAAAGTTTGTGCAGGTCTAAAAATAAACTCCTGTAAATTCTAAAGGAACACACCCAGGCAATCACTGCACTTTAGGTTTTCCCCAGAAAACTCTTCCAAGATCTCTGATTCTACAAGGTAAACAGATCTCTTCATACACAGAGGAAAACAAATTAACATCTACACTTTTAAAAACATTAACAAACTATAAAGCCAATATGACACAGCAGAAAATAATAACACATGTAGAAAATAAACATGGCTTTATATTCCCACTGTAAATCTGAGCAATTGAAAAACAGGTAACATGATCAGTGACTTCATATTCTGTATTATTATTATTTTTAATTATTTTCCTCTTTCAAGAACTAGTTACTACATTGTGACATTAAAATGTATTTGAAGACTTTAGTCCCACATCTATATGCATGTAAATATATACAAATACAAGCACTGAATTTAAAAAAAAAAAAAAAAAAAAAAAACAAAACTTAAATCTACAGAAAACAAATGAGCTTAAGCAAAGATAAAAACCCAGCATGAAACATGTTTTTCAAACAAAATACGTTAACTCTAACAAAGTTTACTGCAAGTTTCTGTTGCGGTACCTCATACTCCAAATATTAATTACTCACATAATAATAAAAAATCCTAGACAAAAAGAACAATCTGACTAGAAGAAAGTAACTGTGGGATGGTGGTGTCATTGTATCGCCTTCATGTGCTGATCTATCCAATATATTTTGAATTCAAAGTGTCTCATCTTCAGTTAAGGAGAAAAGAGACACCATGACGTGGACCAGGAAAAGAAAATTAGATTTAAAAACGAACAGACTCAAAAAGCTTGGTAAGTATAACTGAATCACTTCTTCTGTTTATTTTACAGCATAAGATGAATGCCATTAAGCCTAAACTGGGATTAAAAAAAGTGCCCAGACTCAACACCCAACACTGTAAGCTCCCCCAAACTAATGCACTTAAAACCAGAACTTAAAATACACATCTTTTTTGTGCTGCCAATACTCCTGGTGAATAAACAGTTCAACCAATTAAAATTATAAAAGAAATCCTAAATGTTTGCACAGCATTAACTATCTGGCATCACCAGCAGTATCTTTGGCACACAAGACTTGTACGATCATCATTATTTCAGCTTTGCAAAAATACGAATCTTTCGGCGGTGGAGCAAATCAACCAGAATATTAACTGGCTCGTGTCACAATTCCAGAACTTGCCTGTGCTTGGATTGCGCAGTTTTGTAAACACGGGTTCACTGTCAGGTGTCTTAGGGGTGTCAATAGCAGCCTCTGTAGGGGGAGAGAAAAAAGTTGTGAACTTGTAAATTGTGAAGTATTTCACATCTGCTTCTCCAAGACATTCAGAATTAATGGGATTGACAGTTTTTGGAAACTCACATCTGCCTAAAAGTTACATGCCTCAGCCCAAACTCATCCTACCTGATCAAGGCACCTAAATTATGATTCCAGACTTCCTGGCACTCTCTATCTGTCACAGGAAAGATATGCACCTGGGGATGATTTAGATTTGAAAACCACTTCCCCCAAGAGAGCCTTTAGGCAAGAGAGCTCCTAAGTCTGACATCCCAGTTAAGTGAGATGAACTGATATGCTGCCCTGATTAGTCACAAAGACAAAGAGAATGCTTTGGTTAGTTAGGCCAAGCACAATGTGGACATTAAAAAAGTGCAAAAGGTAAAATACTTATGGGAAGAAACAGTGATGCTTTAAAGCTTTCAGGAAGTCAGATTATGCAGGAATTGTCTGACTAGTTGATACTTCTGCGAAAAATAGGCACACTTGTTTATCTGTTACGTATAAACTTGAAAAATAAAGAGCGCATTTAATTCCCTGCACGGGCAAAAAGCTGAGACAATATAACACCTCTGGCTTAAGCTTCTGACAGTTGCTCCCTTTTCAGTGTCTGAGCAAAAAGAAGACAAAAAGCAGAACCCTGAAAGTATAATTTCTCTGTGAAACTGAAAAAAAGGAAACGGCTACCACAAGGATGCTGATTCAAGTACGAAAAAACATCTATAAGGATCTCCAGTTAATTATATTCTATCCAAGTTCTCTTTGTATGGAAATGCTAACTTACATTTATGAAAGCAACTTCCCACATCTCAGTGAAGAGCTCCATGACAGCATCATCTTTCTTAGCTTGAACACTGCCAGTTCTGTCCCAATTTCTTTCATACAAGCATTCATCAGAGCACGGAAAATTACTAAAACATTTCACGTACGTAATCAGTATCCAGACCTCAGAGAATGGACTGACAGGGATCAGATTGAGGTTTGTGTTATGGTGCTGCTGGGGAAAGTGGAGAGGAGCAGTAGAGGCAGGCTGAATGGCTTTTCAAAGGAAGAGAAGTGCCACGTTGTCCCTCCCCTTTCAGCAACATCCAGCAGGTTTGTGGAGAGGGAACTAGCACAGTTATGTTCTATGGCAAACAGGGAAGTAGGAACAGTACAACCAAAAGTAGCTATCCTCCACTCTGGTTGAAAGCCCCAACACACCTGAAAAGGGCAAGTGCACTTCTCACAGGCTGTTCCCTGGTGCCTCAGTGGCAAAAAAAGCCCCAGATAACTCTTATCCTTCACATCTACTCCTGCTTATTCAGTTATGCCACAAACAGAAGTTGCCCAGATAAAGGCATAAGCAGGACATAAAAAGCAACTGCATTTAGTGATTAAAGTGTTGGAGGATAATAGTTCTCAGACTGGTTCAGAGAATTTAGTCATTTTCTTCGCCTAAATTTTTAACTATGTCTTCAGGTGGCTTCAAAAAGTTTCAATATAAGTTGAGGGATTTTAATGGAAAAAGTCCGTATTTGCTAACCAGACTTGCTTCATATGCTGATACATAAACACACGGTTGTCAAGCTACATTTGCCCTGGCAAAGGCAAACTTCAAACTTCTAGAGCTGTGTATATTTCAGTTTTTGACCACAGTTTAACATTAGTGTATTTTTTGTTACTTTTTAAAACACTGAAGTGATTAATGATAGTGAAAGAAACACGCTGCATGTGTTTACTTTGATGTGTTTCACATGAACATGTTAAAATATACACACTAAATGTGAGTTTCAAAATTTAAAACAAAAAGCAAAACAAAAAACCCCCAAAGGAACTTTTAGCGCTCACTTGCTCTGCTTTCTTCATGCAGATTTATGAACACTGGGAACAAGTCCAGCTGAGCCCTAAGCTGCATCTTGTATAATGTGAACAATTAAGTTGACAATCCTTCCTCATTTGTTGTTTTTAACGAAGCTCACATCTTTATTAGGTTGAGATGTTCTCTTCCTAACCTTCTAGTACCACACTGAATTCATCTATCTCTGCTAAGCGCGGAAGACACCTGTAGGTATGGATCACTTAGTGTAACAAACCCAAGGGATACACTGTCCCTTCTCTTCCTCATCAATCCTCTGCCTTCACAATCCAGATAGCCCCCATCATCCGGGCCTGCCCCATGCTATCCCAGGCTCAGCACCCTCTGCTCTGCCCCTATGGATACATGGCCTGGCCCTGCAGCTGCCTGGACTCAATCAGAAGCTTTTCCCCATGTGAAGAGCAGCACAGCTCTGCCATTTGGTTCTATGGTCCTTCCCAAGCTCCAAGAGGTTCACCACTGCCCAGAGGACAGCAGGGAACAAACCCTAATGAACAGTCTGAGTTGCAGGCTTCAGTCCCAGTATCTCATGCTGATGGGATCAGAGTATATGTCACATTCTCCACACAGCTGCCACAGAACATGGTATACCTGAAGGGACATGAACACAGGAAGAAGGGAAGGACTGGTCAAAGGCAAAAGCCGTTTCTGTGAGTTTCTGTAACCTTCAGTTTCCTCAAAATGTAGCCAATATCCCACTTCATTTCCAGGGGCATCTGAAGTATATTTTTTTTCTAGATTGGCTTTACTATATGTCAAGTTGGCAGATTAAAAAAAGAGGTAATTGGAAGAATGTCTGCTTGGAAAACTGGATGCAATATTAACATGGCCTTAAGGGCAAAGAAGGCCCTATTTATCTGAATTTAAACACTTCATGACTAGGAAAATGCTGAGCAAAGGATTCTTGACATTAGGTGTCTAAACCTAACTTGTGTGTGTTCTGGCCTTTAGCCAGGAAAGGTAACTGGACTTCTTTAATGCCATTACATTTGTCAGTCCTTGTATTTCAGCAAGAATCTCTTATATCTAATATATATAAACTTCTTAAAAAGCAGTACTGTAGCCATTTTCTAGCAAAACTAAGAGTTAAACTAATTTTCTTTTTTTTTTTTTTGTTTCTTTTTCAGTGTTAAGGTTCATGTCCAGACAAAAAACAATCTTACAGAAAATAAGCAGACAAAAGGGACATTACAGGAAGAGCTTTTTTGTTAAATCCTAAAGGAAAACATTAGATAATTGCCACTCCGCTTATGACAACAGTTCCCATAGCTCAGCCCTGAGAAACATGTTCATCTACAAGAATAACTAGGGAGAAAGGTAAGACCTTTCCGACTGAACAGTAAACTCTTTACCAACAGTTCTGCCACTTAGAGCTGCAGGTGACACACAGTCAGTATAGGTCAGCTTAGTAATATGTGCCAGTACAGCACACTTTTCTTCTAGGACAACATACACTACAAGGATATAAAAAACTGATAGAAGGATAGAGAGGGGTTCAATTAATCCTGTCTTAATGAGGCATCTCAATCAGCAAACCACTTTTTAAATGGCCTGGGAAGACACATGACAGACACTTCCAGGAGGCAGCTGAACCCACCTAAAGCCTAATGCTACCTACACCATCCCCTGCAAGTGTATGCCTCTGTCTCCGTGGATCTTATAGGCACCTCCAGCAATGCAGCATGAATCCAGTTCCACTACAGCTATACCAGAGGAGGGAGTTCTGAGGTAAGCACAGAGCAGGACAATTAAATTCCAACACTGGGCCAGTAAGTACGTCTACTTTGCTCAAGTTACAGTCTACTGTTCATTCACAATTAACCACATCATACAAAGCCCATCTAAAAATGTGGGTGATGTACCTATCAGTTTGGAGTCTGCAAACAGATCCTTAGAGTCCTGAAGCTGAGCTAAAGAGACTGTAGAAGCTTAAATGAAGCTTTCCATTAGAGAAAAGGAGAAAAGCCTATTGTATTTCATGGAGGTCAGACATACAACCAAGCAAATTCTATAAAATATATAAACAGAACAAAGTGAAAATGAAGCAGCTGTCAAAGGATTTCTGGCAATAATTTCTTCCACAATAGAGAGATATGAGGCACTAATGAATCTGGCCATTAAAGCAAAAAAAATATTAGCTGGTACAGCAACATGAATAAATTGAAAAACAACATAAACCTCCCACTAACATCTATGAAACTGCTAAGGATGATGCAAAGTCTATTTACCTCTTTTTTTTTTTTAAAAAAAGAAAAAAGCCTACAGAATACTATATATAACAAACTAGTATCATGTTATATAGAATTCCCATGCAAAAAGCTGCCAGCCAAGCAAGCAACAAGGCTGTAAATATCTGTCAATTGCGTAAGAGGAAAAAACCCTCTGAGAGCACAAATTTCCCAACCACCACCACCCTGCAAAAAAACAGGATTATTTAAGTCTGGAAATATAAAGTTAAGATTTCATTTAAAAACAGATATTAAACCATACGTCACCCACACAAGTCTTTTCCATTCCCTTCTTAACTTCTAACTATGCATGAAAGGTGTGTCAGATGGAGATGTTATGATGGAGCCCATTAAACAGACATTTTATGGAAGACTTTAAACTATGTAGCCTAAGGGTACAGATAGGTTAGAGCTAATAAACATTTTATTTGTGCTCTTTTTAGAATCTCAGCCCTGAAGTAAGAGGCTTTAATTCAGTGCCCATGTGCTTTGTCATGCAGCATGCTCTGAAAAAAAGCCCACTGAATATTAATTAATAAATCCAGTATTTTGTATCACTCAGGTTTTTTTATAATTTTTGTAAGTTACAAGGTAGTTAACTACAGGCATAATAAATGAATTCAGGTATGCACAGATTGAGGATACAGTTCCATGAAGGCCTTCAAATGACCAAAAATCACAGACCACTGAAAAGCACAGTCCTGGGGTCCCCACCTCTGCTCCCTTCTTGTGCATCTCTGCTGCTTCTTTCTCTGTTGCTTCTTTCCACCAAAACTAGTAATATTGTGGCCCCACAGCAAGTCAGCTCGATTCACTGATCCAGCTCTGAAGTAACCAGTCCCAGTGAGGAAGTAATAATTTTCAACCAGATCAGTAAGCTATTCTCATTC